GTAATTTTCCTATTGCGGCTTTCATCATTACGTAAGAAGTCGTCGCACGATAACTTGACATTACGTGTAAGTTCAACATCCTATGTTGAAGTTTTCTTCCGCTTTAGATCTTGCTGTAATTTTCCTATTGCGGCTTTCATCATTACGTAAGAAGTCGTCGCACGATAACTTGACATTACGTGTAAGTTCAACATCCTATGTTGAAGTTTTCTTCCGCTTTAGATCTTGCTGTAATTTTCCTATTGCGGCTTTCATCATCTACGTAAGAAGTCGTCGCACGATAACTTGACATTACGTGTAAGTTCGACATCCTATGTTGAAGTTTTCTTCCGCTTTAGATCTTGCCGTAATTTTCCTATTGCGGCTTTCATCATTACGTAAGAAGTCGTCGCGCGATAGCTTGACATTACGTGTAAGTTCAAAATCCACATTGAAGCTCCCTTCCGCCTCCGATCTCGCCCTACTTTTTCCTGCTCCAGATAAAAATACCAATATTATAATTCTATCTTGGTTTAATTTTAWTAAAATAAGTCATATTATACTATAATTTACATCGGTTTCAATGATGAATTKTTCAATTTAAAATTACATTTACGAAAGCTAATTTTTGCGCAATATTCTATTGGGGTGTCAACTTGCTTTTATTCCGAACTGAGAAGAATGGGAGAAAAAAAATGTGAAATACGTTTTCACTAATGCATGGTGTTCACAAATTATAACTATTAAGATATTCAATGTATAACCTTAATAGATGAGGTGAGGGTTTTGGCAGCCATCTTGGACCGGTAGGCATAGTGTCGCGAAATAACAAGGAATGACCGGGAAATCGATGTCAAATAAWTCTCGCTGAATTCGAATTCGGAAAGACACTATGCCTACCGGACAAGATGGCCGCCAAAACAGTCACCTCATCTATTACAGATCATCTGGACTATCAAATACAAGAACAGTAGGAAATATGCAGTGACGTCATGCAAAGAAATTATAAAAATCCCATGATGCTTTGCTGCACAACATGGCGTCGCTGCACATACTCCTATCGTATTTCAAGCACAGACTTCTTCCCATTTCAAGCTTTCCGGATGTGTGAGAGTCTACGGTTAGAATTGCTATGTACTGTTAAATTTCAACTTATAATACATTTGTGTTCACGAATAAGTTTTCTAAGTATCATTGCGCGATTTAAAATTGAATTATAAGACTATCTCTATGGACTCCTCACAGCAGTTTTCGCGCCGGGCTTGGTGTCCCTTGTTGAGGAAACTAAATCTCTATATATTCAATCAGTTAAACTGATACTATTTCCGTAAGCCTCAATAAGAGTTACGTTAAGATACAACCAACTGGTGTTTTGCATTTATACAAATCTAGTGCTTGTTTGTTCGTCWATTTGGAAACTCAAACAATCTATTGAAGTTGTTTTAAATATTTTTGTCCGTAAATAATGCGTCCGAATTGAAAAAATACTAATTACGTGTGATTACTATTTTAAGATAATTATACTAATTGTAATAGGCTTAAATCTATTCTATGCTATTTAAGATAAATGAAGAAATTGTGCAGCTTTCCTTAAGTCCACGCTCACGCACTGTTTCGCTTTTACGGGAAACGCAATGCGTAAACGCGCCGACCCAACGTTTTTTTCAAAGATTACGGTCTGCGAACTTCATCCAACAGCATGCAACATCCGCAAATTACATACACACTAGCAATATACGCCAAACAATGTTCATGCTGTTGTAAATGTCGGTCTCGCGGCAAGTTTGCATTGGCTTTAACACCGTAGTCATTCATAGCCTCGGGCTTCCTGTGCCTAAAGATTACTCCTCCAAATCAGTAGCTATCAGCTGATTCACCTAGTTTTAAATGACCTGTTTAAACGGTGTAGAAGCAATATATTTTGTCTAAATGTAAATTGTGCATATTCTAATCTCAAAATATTATAGCTATAGGGCACTAACGTTATACACTTGGCTTTCATCAACTGTATTATCTGACGAACCACTAGCGCCCAGCAAAGGGACACTTTCAGGCTGGTCGCCTGAAGCTTGATCACTTTTACTTGAGCCCATTTTATGGCTGTCCGTATCAGCCCCTCCGCAGGAAGGTTCCTCCCGTACAGTGTCCAAATTACTAGCCCTTTCAAGTTCGTCGCCTGTACTTGAGTCTTCATCACCACTTGAGCTTGAACTGCTCGAGTCATCATCGTCTTGTCTGCTTTTCTCTTGTGYTTTGATGTGTCTTTCACGCTCTGTTTCTTCTTCAGAAAGCTGACGACCTATTTTCCATCTTACTGCTCCTATCTTGAATGTTATTCCTTCGTCTTTATCGCTGTCTTTCCGAGTTCTATCGCGTTCTGCTAAYTCAGTTTCTCTTTCTTCGGCCTTTGTTTCTCCTTCGGACGGCTCAAATATAGTCGAGAGTTTTTTCTTTGGAGGAAAGCCTTCTAGTTCTTGACCTTTTCCACGTCGGCGTTTACGATGATGCCGATGTCTATGATGGTGATGTTTGTGTTTTGGTTTGGTAGGTTCAGCTTGTGATGGCACTTTGAAGCGTAATGGTTGTGAATGACTGAAAGAAAAACAGGTTAAAATCATGTCAATAAACACACGTCCTGATTGGTCCACAAGCAAGCTTTATTTCATTTAGTTTATTTCAAGCGACCTTTGAAATAAAGTTTGATTAATATACTCGCTAATCTTTCAAATGAAAACGACTCTAATATCTCTTTCACGGGTTTTTGTTTCATTTCGATCTGTACKTTACAAATTCTTAGCGTATTTATTTGCAATTTGAGACCGGAAAACTTTGAAACRAAATGTTACGTGACAGACTTGTTGTTTGGGCTTAGTTTTCTTGTCTAGGTCAGACTAAAAGACAATACAAGCTTCAAACATTTTTATAAGATAAACAAGGCAGGTTTTTATATGTAGTTATATAGATTTTTACTTGAATTTATCGCAAAAATATTCTAGTACATGAATATTTTGGTAAAATACTTCACTGGGCTTGATTTACACTTGCTAAGTATTGTTTTAAATCGCATAGATATGAATCAATTTTTCTCAATATTTTTGATATATTAAAATGTCTACAAAAATTACTATGAATTTGATGCGTTGGATCAATTAACACCTAATAATTCCGGAATAATAGAATTTGAAGTATATTTTTGCAAGCGGGCCACCTGCAGTGCGAAGAGGTCATTTTCATACACGTGTATCTCACGTGCTAATTAATATTCACTTTCAAAAAAGTCCAAAAATTCAATTTGATTAAAAAACATGCTTTCAAAAAAGTCATAAAAATAGCATGATTAACAAGATGAACTATCTCAGCAAATTACAGTCTTTTTTCTAAAATTATTGAGTTTTGAATATATTAAATATAGCTAAACTGAGCATGCGTGAAAAAATACCTGTCAGTTCTCAAAAATATACGTCAAAAACATCTTTAAGCTATTTCAAAATGCTGGAAATGTTTTAGAATGACTTTCAAATTACATTAAAACTACATGCACGATAAAAAAATAGTTTATCTTTAGCAATGAGTTAATCCCACATTGAAGAGCTCTAGCAWAAAGTGAAGTATAAAAMMGACGTTTTCATAYGARTTTCTGCGCGGATGACCCTCACTGGTGTGGGGTGCGGGCTTCAAACCCGTAGCCGATTAGCGTCGGAGTGGTTCAATTCCACCTTCTGCGCGCCTTTTGCTAAGGCTAGCTTATTAAGGGATTTAGAACTGTATTTTCAGACATGCCTTATGACCATAATTTACACATCAAAAATACATGTCTTCTTTGTATAAACATTTTTCTTTCAAAACACGTTTTTTGACGTCAATATTAATGAAATTAAACATGAAAAGAATCACAAATAGASTTTTATACCAATTATTAGTTTCAATAATCTTTCACGGTCAAATAAAAACTCTACTTAATACTATATTTACTATGATAAGCGACGGTGGTTTGCATATTGAATCGTTTTCATTTGACCGTGAAAGATTAATAAGAAAATAGTTGGAATCASAGTCTGAATCCACAGAATCCATTACTTTTGTTTCGTGATTTTCAAAGCATTGTCAACTTTAAAATGTTATCGTAGTGGTAAAGTTAATTTTGATTTAAATTCTTGCTTACAAAATTATAAAACGAGAAAAAARCTATTTGTATACTTACTATGGGGTACGCCGATGATTTGATAAAATATCGTCATAGTCGTCTACAACATTATTTCGCTGGAATTTACGATGAGCAGACTGAAATATAAAAGAAAAAAGAGATTAAGTGCAATGTTGTAGCATTCTTGATTTTCATTTTTTTTTTTTTCTTTTTTTTTACTTGTCCGTTTGTTTGTAGTATATTTGGTAAAGCATTTATGGCTGGTTAATTTCTCTAGACGTAAGCGCAAGCACTGAGTGATACGCATGAGTACAGAAACGAACATGTTCGCTTTTCTTGTGATTATTCTTGTGATTACGTTAAGCGAAACTCCCGTTTCTAGTYTTTGYCAGTGCTTTTGTCGATTGAAAACATAGCTTATGCTCGTGTTTATCGCAATTTTTACACTTATGTCTAGCAAAAATCAGAGTTAACAGTCAGTGTATTTCAAAACTTCCATTTTCTAACCCTAACGAGTAAMAAAATKTCCGAMTYTGWGCASACCATGTCWTTTTCAAGYTATCCGTACGTACATCAGATTAATAATTATATTTTGACTTACAATAGCCCTCCGCGACCTGACAAGAAGACTKGTAAGGTTGTACATGTCCATGTGTGGTGTGTCAGACACTACTAGACTGCTCTCTGGCGGTTCTGTAAAAACAAAAAAGATTATTGACTTTTTTTTGTACATTAAGTCAAGTTATTGTTGACATGGTCAAACTTCTTGTCTCTTTCATACATGTAAGTACATTCATAGGTATGTGGTGTTACCTGTATTTGCCCTGGAATCTCTCACTACAATGTCTGGTACACGAAGGAAAGCTCCACCTCTGGAAAATGGTWAAAGTGATGCAATGTTCAATACGTGCAATATAAGCAATCAATATAACAAGAAAATTTAGTAATTTAGCGAGAAGAGAACGCCCTATCGCGACACAAAAGAGTTTAGCTCTATGCATTAGTCTTTTCTAATAAATTCTTTGTAATTGAGTCACAAGTGAAATACAGTAGTTTCAAATTATTTTCAAGAAGAAGTGTTTTAAGTTTTCGTAGCAAGACTAAATGGAAGGTTGGGCAAAAAGGAAAACCAAGGTTTCGGCCTGAAATCTGAACATTTTTATTCATAGTGCATTTATTCCGTGAAACTAATAGTACTTTAAGACATACTCATTTTTACCTTAAAAGAGGTTCATTATCATCTAATCCTTCAGAACTGCAAAGAAAACAAAATGTGAATCGTTCATTACGGATTTTTATCATTTGTATTGGCAAACAAAGTTAACTTACTTCTTTGATTGGCCCATAGCTTCCAAGTGATGGCTGCAAAACAAATAACAGGAAAAAAAAAACACTATTTCAATACTTTAATCCAAACTTACATGTATAGTCATATAAMGTAGCTGAGACAATTGATAGCTGTCAGTCATTTCTATAATTAGTCAACATGGTGAAAACTAGCGGTAAACTAGTGTGAGCTGCGTCGCTGTTTCCAAGGAAACAGTTGTGTAAAAAGATAAATTTAACAGCTTAAAGAAATAGGTGAAACAACTATAATATGCTAGTGGCAAATCCAAGAGGGGTCACAATCCATCATAGCACCCCTATTTAGTGCCTCTTTTGTGATGGTTTGATGTGCTCCCTTTCCAGCTGACAATTAATGAGGAGAACATTCAGTAAGTGTTTGTCTCCAATGAATAATTACCCTGAAGGACTTGGAAGTAACAACGATCCACTACCCTCTCTTTCTAAGTATTTTAATGCATCTCTGATGGGACAAATAAAAGACATTATCA